GCTGTAGGCTTCTCTTATTTGATCTGTGTCAATGATCAATATAGAGAGAGTTTATTTTAAGTATAAAGATTAGGTTTCTGAACGACAATTTTGGTAGCTTCGTCAGTGTGTTAAAAATGAACCTGTCAATCATATCATCAACTTAACGGAATACGATTTACAATTTTGTTTAAATCTGATTTATCCTGATTATCTAGTATATAATTTACAGTGAAACTTTTAAAAATGTGTGTGCATAATTTTTAAAGATATTTTCAGATACCAAGTTTCTACTCACCGTATAGTAAGTTTGAAATATGTGCGAAAATTTATGATAACTTAAGAAAAATTGTTAGTTTCTAATATCCGTGTTAATATGTAATAAATTCACTGCATCGGCATATCTATCGAGTGTACGTCACGTTCATAAACTGTTCAGTATTGTTTAAATTTTAAACTATACAAATTACGAACAACAAATTGTGTCACTAACTAATTATCTTCATATATAACTACTTTTATGAAGCAGGGATTACAGATAAGCCAGTTTATATTACATAAATCAGTTCACAACTTGTTTAGTTATTATCAACCTGAATTTTGGTATTCATTTGAGATTACATATGAAACTAATCTTTATTCATTCAATTAATATAACATATTTAATTTCATATGAAGTGATTTCCAAATTAACATTGTTTTACAATCTAACGTCTATGAAACTTTACATTGACTAATAAAAAACTGATCAATTTATACAAGTTAGTTTCTTCGTCTGTCAATGTAAAATGATTTTTTTATAGTGAATTAAATCACAGTGTAGAGAAACGACCCTGTAGGTAGCTCCACTGACATTCATTGAGTTTCGTCTGTGTATTTATAATTTGTAAGAAGTTCGTACTGACTGATAGGCAGGGAGGATGATAAAATTTTGAACTTCATAAGTCTTCTTCATAATACATTATTATTGTTCACATCATATATACGTGTTACACAATATGAAAGTTCTAATTCGTTCATCTGCAAATTATACTTTCGTTCTCATGATCATTTGAGTTTATTCAATAATAACATTACGTGTAGCGAATTCAGCTGAGGATAAACTGCACTGTGTCAGGTTATCAAAGTGTATCGTAGTCAGTAATAAAAGTTATTATTTCATTAATTTAGTCACTCATTTGAAGATACTTTGAAATAATTTTTATTATGGAATTAACTGGAAGTATGACCTGCCATATTGTAATTTTTCTTCCATCATAACTGAGTGCTTTATACTTGACACGTTCGTAGCATGATGGAATGGTACTTTCGTCGTAGAAATCTTTACATTTTTCATGTAAACCATGCATGCATGATTGATTATGACTTCACAATGATTGGTTGCCCGGTGCAAAGTGAATATTTTGATCGACAGTGGAGTTTATCCTCACCAGCGAACTTCCAGGTTGAATTTTGAATAAATTTTACCATAACTCAAAATTCTAATCATTAGACATTATGATATTTTTGAATGTCCGTACAGCCAACTATCTTTAAAAAGAACTAAATAAGTCCAAAAATAAACTGGAAAATCCAAAACTACTTAGACAATGGTCTCGGAGTGAGCTAATAGGTTGACAAAGGCATTTCATATCCTGAGATAAACAACTATTATTCTTTGAGGTTTGTAGATTGATTTTACTTCTATGCTCGACAGATAACTGAAGATATTAATACTTCGATCATTATCGAAGTGAGATCAATTTATAACAATTAATTAGGTCACATGGATTTAAAAACAGGCCATTAAATGCTAGTGACAAACCCATTGATGAATATTATTCTGCTATCTAAATCTATCTTTCAACCATCATTTGTAAATTAAATGAATAAACCTAAATAAATGTTTAAGAATTAGTGATCACCTATTAATTACCGATTTCGTGATTTCATGATCATTTCTGTGGACATGGAAGCTTTTTTAAATATATATAAGTTTATCAACTGAGAACTATTACGTAACAGCTTTAAAAAAGTATCTAGTCAAAATATATGCACATACTAAATTACTTATATTCACTTGGTATTGTTTGGCTTGTATCTTCCCATTTAGCTTTAAGACTGCAATTGATCAGTCTGTTATTGGCATATGTGCATACTGTGAGTATGCCTCGATATTGTCTTAATTCAAAAGCTTTTTGTAGTGTAAGCAATGATGGATAGTGGCTAGCAGTGGAATCCAGGACGCGCGTTTCGTCCTATTTGGGACTCGTTAGCTGAATGTACCTGCACCTCAGAGTTGATGTTCACTCTGGGACTCGAACTCAGTATCATTCGCTTCAAACGCCATCGCGTGAACATCAACTCTGAGATGCAGGTACATCCGGCTGACGAGTCCCAAATAGAACAAAACGCGCGTCCTGGATTCCACTGCTAGCCACTATCCATCATTGCTTACACTACAAATAGATTACTTATAATTATCACAAATATACCAATCACTTCATTCATTTTGGTATTATTTGAATAAGGTTAATTTAACTGGCAACAGGTCTGTTGAAATCCTATTCATTATCTTTCTGACATTTAAGAATAATCATTATCTAATGAAAAACTAAACTTCATATCTCTATTAGCAATGCCCAAGAATGTAATTTAATTATTTGAGTATAGTTACTCCTGACTTTCTTATTTAACATTGAAAATTTATTCAATCAAAAATGGCTCATAGTTTAATTTGATTTTTTTTGATAAAAATAAAATTATGTTGATTGTTATGAGGTCATTCTGTCTGCAAAATAAGATTTTAATTATTTCAGTTGTCAACAAACAATATATAAGACTTATGTTTAACAAAATTATACCGATTGAATTGACCATCATTTGGAAATGATCTATTTTATTTTGTTGATTTATAAGATAAATATTTGTGAAGATATATATTTTTTTTCAAAAAACAAACAAACAGTCTAAGTTTTTGGTACATTCGAGAATCATTATATACATATATATGATATATTTGACCTTATTGTAACGTTATGAGCATAAATTTCGTTATCATAACCCATTTATTCTTCCTTGTCTGATAAAAAACAAATACCTGAAATCTGTGTCCGCCTTACTGGTTGCTTTGGTGAATAATAAAATATATATAATATATACCATTGGCTAATTGGTCTGGTTGGTTAAGCGCCTGGCGCGAGACGGTTAGGTCCTGGGTTCGAATCCCGCGTAGGGAGGGGGCTTGGGTGCGCACTGTCGAGGAGTCCCATACTAGGACGAAACGACTGTCCAGTGCTTCCAGGTTTTCCATGGTGGTCTAGCTTCAATTGACTCATGATCTCAACTGTTGATATAATTTTATCATAATATTTTAAATGAGTAGTATAGTTGTATTATCATCGATAAAATATGACTATATAAAGTGAAAGATGAAAATGATTTCTTACATTGAATATCGTTTGTTCAAAATCTGTAACTAAAAATATACATTAATTGAAACGATTATTGATGATAATTTTTTTAATATCATTAATGATCCCAGAATTGATTTAATTTTCCTTTTGGGGGATGCCTATTCAAAAGTTTAGTAAAACAAAACTCCTTCACTTAAGCGTTTCTTCTTTTTTTGTAATCAAAACACATGGTGTTTCCCAATAAGTGAAATTCAGTAATGAATACTGTTACATTCTTGATCTGTCTACCCACTTTTGGTGCTGAAGATAACTTATCTAGTCTAGATTAAGACCTCGACGCAATAGGCTGACCGGCTTAACCTTGCGGCTAGTATGAGTGAGTTCGAAGTTGAGTAGAGAGAAGAAAACTATTCTACCACCTGATTGGCTGACAAGCACGCGAGTGAGAGAAGACAGGCCAAGTGGAACACTACTCGATCTATTCCCGATTTCAGATTAATGTGAAAAGATACATGAATAAATAGATGAATAACCCGAGACCACAACTTATAACAATTAGGAAGATACAATTATGTCAAAAACTGGGGATTAGTGTAGAAAATAGGGTACAAAATATTATGTTTAAATTACAATAGCTTTGGGATAAAAAGGGCTATGGCAGTGAGTCATACATCAAACGAAAGCTTATGATTTGCAGAATAGACTAAGTGCAAAAATAAATGTTACTATATTACAAGCTTTGAATTAACTGAAATAACGTCAAGAAAAATAGCTTCCGTAATTTGTATAGGCTTCTTATTTCTCTGTTCACATCAAATACTGATAACAGTTAACCGTTTGAATTCTTTGAATTTAATCGATTATGGATATAGAATAAAAATCGTACCACATCTGACTATACGAATAATCATATTCATTACTACAACTAAACAAATTTATGCTGATGAAATATGTATCTTGATATGTTTATATTACTCTGACCTTATTCATATACATTTTTAAAAAATATTATTATTGACTTTCATAACTATATAACGGTTTAGTGGTGTGATATATGACATTATTTTTAAAAAAAAACAAAATACTATAGTTATGAAGAACTAAATTCTTTGTCAACATTATATGAAACGAAATTCTTTTGTAATCATTTCACAAAGTTTATTGTTTACCATTTATTTGAACTTCTTTTTGCTGTATGTTGTGTATAACTTTTTTGTTTTTATGAAAGAAAATATTGTTTTCTTATGTCATAAAGATGACATCATTTTGAATACTTTTTACCGGCGAACAAAGGCTAAAAATTAATTCTTTATTATGGATATTTTTAAATTGAATTGTATCATTTTAACAATGAATGCGTTCGTTGTTTAATTATAGATATTGTAGTATATTTATATTAATTTATATATATATATATATATATATATATATATATATATATATTAGTAAAGTTGAAAAGAGAAACAATGAAAACTAACAAGGAATGAAGAAATGTTCTATGATGATTTATAAATTTTTTAAAAGTTTCAATTTATCGTTGAACATAGAATACCATTCAAAACTCTCAAATTGGATTGGAATAATTTAGATCATTTGTTAGTATAACTTCATTGGATAAAAATAGTTAAAAAGTGGGTGTGTCTTGATAATATTGCTTTTAATCAATCTAATTATTTACTATACTTTCCGAAATCGATTTAGTTCGATTCGATCGGAACCTATTATTTTTATAATCATTGACCATCATAATATAAATGCCCTACAATACAAGTAACGTCGAATTTGCAATAGATTGAAATTTTCAGTTGAGAAATAGAAATACTATTATCAGTTATGTACATGACATTTTCATCAAATCAAATATATACATCGGGCATTTCGAGGTGTTTTATACTCGTTGGCACTCCATAACAAGGCATCCTTATAATCTTGAATGAATTTTTGTTTTCTATGAGATTTTAACCTAGTTCACCCATCTGCATAGTATAGGACATTCATGGAATAACCGATCTCTTGTATTTCTGAGAAATTAAAAATTAATTAAGCAACAGTATATTCATTTTATCATTTGTTTTTCATCTAGCTATATCGATCATATTATAAACTAGAGTCAATTGAGCCTGTGATTATATTACAATTTATTTGATAGAAGTCAATCAAAATCAAACGATTAAACAAATAGAATATTAATCAATAATTGAAAATCAATCAGTTGTCAATCCTGTGTCTTTTTTTATATTGAACTCTTAAACATTTTTAGAACTATTTTTTCAAACTTTAAATTACTTATGATAAATAAGTAGTAAATATCAGTAAATATCTTCAAAATATTAATTTACAAATAAATAATAATTTTTACAAAAGAAAACAAAAAAAAGAAAAACGAAATTTGTAATAGTCATAAGAAAAACAAAACTAAAAAAAATCAATTTTCTATTATTTTGTTTTAATTAATTAAAATAAATTAAAATAGAGAAACTTCAAATCTCTGCCCAACATTGATAGAAAAAAAGAACAATTAAAACAACATCAACATTGTAATGAACAATATTCAATACCGTGAAAAAAACTTATAAAGTTAATAGAAAAAATATATTTGTTTTGTCTTGTTTCAATTAGAAAAGAAAAATAAGTCGTTGATTAAGTTCTGATTCGTTTCAAACAATTAAAATCAAATTCTGTGAAATAAATTAAAAATGTATAAAATAAATATTTAATTTTAGATTATAAAAATAATCATAAAAATAGATAGTGACTATCAGTGGAACCCAGTAAAATGAGGTTTGTCCCAATCGAAACTCGTCAGCTGGATGTACCTGTGTTTCAGAGTTGATATTCACTCTAGGACTTGAACTCAGTATTGTTTGCTTTAAATATCAACTCTAGGATTCAGGTTCATCCAGTTGATGAGTCCTAAATAGGACGAAACTCATGTTTGGTATTCCTTTACTAGCCGCTATCCATCTTTGCTTAGAATGCTTGTGAATTAGGGCGATATCAAGGCAATATGCTTAGTATGAACATATGCCAATCAATCACAGTTCTCAACATTGATGGGAAGATTCAAGTAAACGATATCAAGTGAAATAAAAAAATTGTCTTAAAAATATACTAATTGTATGCAAGCAACGATGTATGCAAAACAGGCTTTAAGAAATGAAAGTTATTTCTTATTAAAAGTCCTGTTTTTTTAAAACATATCTAAAAAGGTGTTACTCATTCGTCTGTATGCTTGAATGTTATTTTCTACTCACTATACCATTCACAACATAATTCATTCGAGTGGTAACTTTGAATGAACGCGAAACATTTTGCTACTAGTTTATGATTCAAGTACAAATTGCATTAAAATAAGTAAGCATTTGAAATGCTTTTCTATTTCTTGTTTTTAATTGTATTATATCCTTAGTAACAGATTTTTGTTGATCAGTATAGCATAGTTTAGAGCAAATATTTCATGTATGCTTCAAATGATCAAAACCAAACGATAAGTTTTTTAATGTTTATGATCCTTCAAAGGAATAGGAAATGTCTATTGTGTTCAGTATTGAAACCAGCGATTTTCCATTCTTATACACAATTCTTAACTATTATTATCAGAAGGGATTGTGTGGAGATTTTAGAAATTTCACTGGTTGAAATCATAAATCCATTGAAGCTAGACCACCATGGAAAACCTGGAAGCACTGGACGGCCGTTTCGTCCTAGTATGGGACTCCTCAGCAGTGCGCATCCACGATCCCGCTCCTCGCGAGATTCGAACCCAGCACCTATCAGTCTCGCGCCATGCGAGACAATGGTGTACGGTGGCGCAACTTCGTGGATTAGTTGAAGTTAGACATTAACACCGTTGGATGCCGGCTCAGTGGTCTAGTTGGTTAAGCGCCTGGCGCGAGACTGATAGGTCCTGGGTTCGAATCTCGCGAGGAGCGGGATCGTGGATGCGCACTGCTGAGGAGTCCCGTATACTAGGACGAAACGGCCGTCCAGTGCTTCCAGGTTTTCCATGGTGGTCTAGCTTCAATGGATTCATGATTTCAACTAGTGAAATTCTTAACTATGTAATTCTGTTTTTAATTACCAAAATGAAATATTATATTCATTTTGAAAATTGGATATCATACAACACACTCTAATTACTGTGAATAATCTTTCAATAATTTTAATATGAGTAAGAGGAATGAGAATACTATGCCGTATTGGCCTTTTGTCTGCTGAACCAAGAATTAAGTTATCAATAAAATTTAGAATTAAATGTCATTATATAACATTTAACTTGAATTAGTAGCAAATAAACAAGAGATGAATGGTAAATAACCTCTATTTGTTTATTTTTTATCAATTGCAAATTCAGCACGTAAATACAGATTCATTAAAATATTTATCACTAAGTTTACTAAAGGAAAACTGTAGTTCTGCAGACATTTAGTGATATTATCTGAAACATCAATCCTCAATCATTCATTTAAAATGTTAAGGCCTTGAAGAGTACTGGAAGAAGATCAGTTACTTCAGTAGGCTTCAATACTGAAATCAATCTGTTAATGTTACTTTTATTTGGATACCATTATAGTTTGAATACTGCGAACGTTTAGTCTTTTATATTTCGAAAAATAACTCTTAAAATTGCAGTTTTTGTTTTTAATTGTTCACTGACTGAAAACAGCATAAGTCTCTACCTAATGTCTTCGTCAAACAACCATATTTTTATAAATCAATGTATAATTACAGGCTAATCGACAAGTTTCATATAGCATTAATTGAATTCAGTAATAAGTATTACCTGAAATAATATGGAGTTCATACAACTTTGGTACCTGAAATAATATTTAAAATTCCTGGGATAACTTCCGCTTGAAATGTGCCTGAAGGCATGAGCTCTCCGTCCAACATTGTGATGACTGAATCTTTAGAATGTGGTTCTATTCGTAGAGCACAAATTTTTACAATATCCATGTTTGATGTTGATTGTAGGCCTTGACCATTTGAAATTGCTCGTCCCAAAGCTAACAAATCAAATCTGAAATATAATTTTGTACAAATAAAATAATAATGATATAAATTTGGCTTAAAGCATTCATTATGAAATCAAGACCTTATACAAAAGAGTTATTATGGTGTTACTTTCCAAATTTTATTTGGAATGATAATTGATACTTGGCTCGCTTAGTATGCCTTGTTGGTTTCATAACTTTCTAGGACGATTCTAAATCTCCTTATATAAACAAATATATTTTTAAAGAGTGTTTCACTAATATGAAAAGGTTTTCTTGAATTTTCTTGTCTTATATAGTTACCCAGCTGATGTTAATCTACAAGGTTTACTATATTCACGTTAAATTAGTATTTATAAACAATTCGACTGAAGTAACTTTCTCATAGTGAACCAAATATAATAGTGGATTGCTTTACTGCAAAATACCTAATTTTTTCATATTTTGAATAATATTATAAAACAGAATTTGCAACATTTTAGGTAGTTGCATGATTATTTTACCATTCAAATATAGAATGAACTAAAACTAATGTCCATATGAAGTGTGTTGTTCATAGAGAGATTACAAAACAAGGATTTTGTAGAATGTTAAAATGTTTAATTATTTTATGATTTCAACTGCGAATCAAACTAAATATAAACCGAATAAAGATACAATCATAATATTTATTTTATTCAATATCAAGTATGTGATTATAGTAAAGAATTCCGAGTACTAAATAAACAAATTTGTGACAAGTTTTCATTTTATATGAACTAAATTTGTGGATATTCAAAATGTTTTTAAACCATAAAACACTACTATTTTCATTTATTGGTAAATGTTTATGGTAAGGCTTTGCTTCTGTGACACATTTTATACTATCGAATATATTCTGTGTATAAATTCTATAGTAACTGCCTTTCGTTTCTCTAAAGAACAGAGGAAGAGAGATTGTATGAACTACCGTCGTGGCATTTCTTCAGTTTGTCAATAATTAGACTAGCTATAGATTAAAAATATGTTATGAAAACGAGTAGATATACACAATTAAGAGATCTAATGAATTTATTAACACGAAATTAAAACAGGTCAATTTAAAGCAGCAGATGGATGTAGGAAAACACGAAGGACCAAATGTTCGGGCAGTTTGCATAACTTCTTAGTTATGAAATATTGAAACAAAAAAGAAATTTAACTAATGTATTTCAGATACACTAAATTACATTTTTGGATCGTTAAGATAAACACATAAAATATAATTTTTAAAACAACAGAAAAAAAAATCATGAAAAGTGCACTTCTAATGTTACAAATTACGTTTATCCTATTTCAATTATTATTAAACTCGGTTTTTACATCTTGTTAGTGTCAGCATAGTTTTAAGACATATAGTTTAATGTGTTTGATCTTACATTCATTAATTGACAGTTAATATATTCATGATCTCAATCAAAAGATTAAATAATCTCCACAAACCTATACTGATAATTATCATGTGCTCACTGGTAACTAGCTTCGTGAGGTGATTCTCGGAGTTCTGGTGAGAAGCCGTGACCAGTGGAGCAAATCCTTGTTAGATAAAGACAACTATCTACCTCAGATAATGGAAGATGGTCACGCAAATTTGTGGTTTGGTTGAAGTTAGACATTAACCCCGTTGGATTACGGCTCAATGGTGTAGAGTTTAAGCGTTTACAAGTGAAACCGAAGATCCTGAGTCCGAATCCCGCGTGCGGAATCGTGGGTGCGCACTGATGAGGGGTCTCATACTAGGAAAAAACGGCCATTCAGTGCTTCCAGGTCTCCAGTTAGGGCGGGACATTGATCCATTCATGATCCCAATAAAAAATCAATAATCTCCACAACTTAAGATTGATAATTAATATATAATTGAAGAGAATACAAATAGTTTTGGTTTTTTAATGTTACCTTGGTAATTAAATCCAAAGTTCAAGAGTTATAGTATACTTTGATGCTAAAACATCTCAGTGTAAACTTCAGTGAGCATTGAAAATATCTAAAGAAAACTGTTCTTAATATATATGAATTTGTAAATATTTAGCTAATATTTCAAAATATATCAAACGACTTAATCCAGATATTAAAATGAGAAGTTTATGACATTTGTTTTAAGTGGTATTGGAACCATTGATAGCAGTTTCTTCATTTTTAATAACAGCATTTTAGTGCATATAAACACAAAAAAGTTCATGCTTTTACTTATACTCAGAGCCAGTAATTGTCTGATTCTTTCAGTTAGACAGTGGAAAGTTATATTAAGTATTAGAGTCTGGGTCATATTTAGATGTATTCAGTATATTTGAACCTTTATTGTATTTTGACGGTATTCCGCATCATGTCTTATAAAGGCAGATTTGTAAAACAGTAAAACGTTAAAGAAATCGAAAATAAAATGAATTTTTTATTGAAGGATTTATCAGGATGCTGAAAGAAGCAGTGTACTACAACTTTAAATGGATTAGGATTGAAAACAAGTAACTTCAGGTAATGTAAGTTTATCATACAACTGTAAGTTCAATGACAACCGCAAACTGTTAACTGTATTGGTAATTTGTTTATGGTCAGATATTTGATCAGAAGTACATAACCCACTATTTGTGCTTCATAAATATCAGACTAACTTGTTCTTCAAGTCTAGTTATCTACCGAAAAATAGTTTGTTTCCCCTGGAATACTGATGTTATTGCAAGTAAACAGATTCAAGTATTTATTTGTGTAATTTGCAGCCAAATGAACCGACTAAGACAATCAAAGGATTAAGTTCTGACTCCAGATATTTCAGAACATTCGCTACCACAAAAAGTGTCACCTTCGATAATCAGTTGGAAATTAATTTCCTAAAGATGTTATCAACCGTATTTATTTATGTATTCTATAAAAATATTTATTAATTCAATGATGCACAGTTGTATCTTTGTTATTAGTAAAATCTAAACGATGTTTGCTGATAAAAGGACTGAGGATTGCATAATTTATGAGTTTTTTTATAGGTTCTTTATGGACATAATCAGTAATCGGTTCAACCTAGCTAGTTCCCAAATTCTTATAGTGCTAGTCGTAAACCTGAATTTTCTATTAAACTAACAATGGATGGAAGAAATCTATTTAAATACGATTTGAAGTACTTTTAAGGTCAGCTAAATAATAGAGATCGTTTTTCTTAGGTTTATACAAACAAAAGTTACTTTTCTTTCCTAGTGGCTATTGAACCTTAATTTTTCTCTTGATTTTCTTTATGTAAATTAATTATTACTTTCCAATCAACTCTTGATGATTTGAATATCGACTTCTGGTATTGCTTTCTCAATTACTTAATTGGATTTCTATTTTTTGAAAACCACGTTTCAGGCTTTGTTTTCTGAAAAAAGTCACATTATCAGAAACACTAATTATACTGCAATCTATAGTTTCATAGGAAATTAAACTTCAGTAAAAATATTTTGTCGGTTCAATGCTTAAATAGGACATCAAAAAGTCATTTTTGCATATTCTCGAAATAATATATAATAATATAATCACCTATATGATCAATAATGATGATCTTGAAATATTTCGATAGAATAATAAGAAGACAAAGTTGATCTGAAAAATGTGAGGTATTTGCACTAAACATTCCGAACAATCTGGTCACATATACTTGTTAGGCCATTTTATATAAAAATTAATAAAGGTTAATTAAATGAAAGTTCAAGTAAAACGTAACAAAGAGGAGAGAAACAATTTTACATCGTATAGAAAGAATAAGAAATTGTCGCGTTGTCCTAGACCACAGAATGACTTAAAGATTAACAAGGTAAATTCAAGGTTATGACAAATTATTTTTGTACACATAAGGGGGATTTAAATTGACGAATAGCCAAGGCTTCAATAAACATGAGAATTCGTCCTTGACAATTTCTATACAATGTTTTAAAAGCTGTATTTATGTCAATTTTGTGCCCTGTTTCAATTATATGTTTCACTATCGATGAACCTGGTTTTCTACCTCCCACGTTGATTGGATCATTTGACACATTGAATTTTCTTATAAAATGCCCTGACAATTATATATGTGACCAGATTGTTCGAAATGTATGACGCAAATACATCACATTTTTCAAATCAACTTCGTCTTCTTATTGTTCTATCAGAACTTATAAAAGGTACTAATTGCTTTAAATTCTTGAAATATTTGCTTTTTTTCACAAGATATTTCTAATATTACTGAATTGTCAATTTTAGATATTAAGCAGTATTAATTGATTCTTTTTTTAGATCGTATCTTTTTAAAAAAATAATAATCAAGGTACAGTTCCAAAAAAACATACAAAAGTATACAAATGATTAAATAGAATTAATTTCAAGATGCACTTTTCATGTAGTACACTATTTAGAATTTTCAAATTATAAAACTGATCCGGTCATTAAAATTATTTGAGCTTATTTTCAGTATTAAGTTCATAAAGAAGTTAAAACAGTATTGTACAAATATTGGATATGCTTCATTATATTATTCGTATATAATACAGTTTGTATAAATGTATATAATTTAGATTTTATATTGATGTAAACTACATATAATTCATAAGAATCTATTCATAAAGCAATTTGTATATACCAACCTTGTTGTGTTTTCATGAAGAATTAATAAAGTTAAATATGGGTCACTGATATGAGCATCCGGATACATTACAGTACTAGATGTTATATGAGAGTGATTTGTTACTAATATTGTAACGAACTTTTTGTCTAAAGTGACCCATTTATCTTGGTGATTAGAAATAGGTTGGTTAGTTTCTGGTAGAAATCTATGAAAATTAAAATACAGTGAAAATTTTATGATTCATCTTTTTACACTTATTTTTTAATACGAATATAATGTTGAAAATGTGAGTTTCGGTTGAAGTAATATCTATGTTAATGACTTATGTGTTACTATGTTAATGACCTGGCTTACCCGAGTTGAGGATGTTTGTCAGTTCATTATATCTCCTATTCGTTGTCGCTGAAGAGTTGCTAACATTCAGTGATAATTCTATATTAGTGATACTGAGGTTTGACAATGTGTTTTCTTATTCAGTACCGATAAATCAATCAGTTTCTTAACCTTGAAATACCTAAGGTAGTTTCGGCAAGTGCTACGAATGTCATCTTAGAGAGTTTTGCGTATGATATTGAATACCCACCGGCACCTTTCAGATCATAGAAACCGTTTGGTCCGGGTTCTGGAGACATCTCAGTGATGTGAATTCTTATCGATCATAGCTCATAACAAAGGTCAATGAAGGTTTACAATAGTTTTCTTTTACATTGTTCATGGAAAACGAAAGGAACTTCATTAACTGAAAGAATTCTTTTAAATTTTATTTTAACTAAACTGTTTCTCCTACTACATACTACTCTCATTCACTTATTTTTATTGACTTATGTTTTTGATTATACTCCCTCATTCTTCTATATCTACGCAATTACGTTCCTTTATTTATATAGTGCATATTTGTTTCGTTGCCTAACTGTACCAGTATTTTTGTGTATTAAACAAATAAATAAAGGCTGATAACTCACAGACAACGCTTCTCGGTTTGACTGCTAACGGAATTTTTAATCGTATTTCATTCACTTATCAGTCAGTCTTTACTTTTATCTAATTTAATTCCTCTCAAAATGAACCACATGTGTTCCATAACTTCTCCTTGGGATGTATTATAATTAACCAATGCCTATCAAAGAGTAATTTGGAAGCTAACATGTGCAACAGAATTTTGGATAACTGACCTCAGGGTTTACATTTTCACTGTAGCATACCGGTGAGAAATATGCATCTGCAGCATTCATCAAATAAACGCAGTTATTTTACTAAAGTACAAATTAATCTAAGTGGAACCATTAGGTGGCAAACATAATCTATAAAATATCTTTAAATTATGAATTCCATCTTCATTATTTTCCTGTATTCCCAAATAGATAGTATTCCCACTCTTAACTACAATAAGGCAACATAGTAATTAACACAGTTACAAAAAATAAAAGAACATTTCGAATAAATAATGTACCATAATGTAAAAACACACTTACGACCAGGATTGACAAGACTTTTTGATCTGTGTAGGAGATACGTTTAATTTATCTTTAAAATCACTTGGATTTTCACATGCCTATATAAATAAAAAAATCAAATCAATATAAAGTCAGGAATATTACCGCATTTCAAGCTAAATTCATTTATAAGGGTTACTTTCAGTAGTATCTATACAATCCGATATTCGACATAGGGGGCGAATACGCCTGTCCAATTACTGAACTTATGTTGTATGGTCGTGATATAGTGACTATATTATAAAATACTTATGAAACATACGATAACAAATTAGATAAATAGGAATACTCATATGCTCTCATCAAATTTTAAGTTAGTATTTGTGTTGAATAAAAACAACTAAGTAGGTAGTGACACACGTTAATATAAGTGAATTACTCACAACTGTTACTCCTCGTGAAGGAGCATAGGCCGCCCACCAGCATTCTCTTTCGAACTCATTTTTGGCCAATCCTTCCCAGCTGCAATTTATTCTTTTTATATCTGTCCTCGAATACCGGCTCAGCTTGTACTTTGTTCTGCCACATTTTTGCCTTTTAGATTTCGAGTTAGGGCTTGCCTCGTCTTGCAGCTTATTGATTTCCACAATGTTTGTCCTATCTAGCTCCAGTAACTTTTCCTAATTTTCTCTTCAGCTGAAAGCTGGCTTGTTTTTTCCCACAGTAGTCAGTCAGTCAGTCAGTAACAACGTGGAACTTCGTACGTACGTACATCAGTTCGAGTTGCCATACCACATTACCACAGAGATTCAGTTATCGATTCAAATCCCGTGGTGGTAGAGTAGTGAAAGTATAAGTAGTGACAGGGAACGTTAAGGTTTGATGATGTTATTTAAGGAGTATAGTCCAGTGGAATAGATTTGGAAAGAAAATAAAAGACATGAAGAATACAGAAGATTAGAGTTTGAGAAAGCACAGAGAATGGATGCACCTGCGCCATTGCAAACGATTTTGAGCCATGTCATTCAAGGTCTCTAACCATCGGTTGCTATCATCTCGCGGTCACCAACCAGGTAGTCTACACCTACCAACATGGCTCAGTTCACTTGTCAGTGACTTCATGGATTTGTGCCATGTTTTGGTCTGGCCGACCCTAGCTTTCTTCCAACCTATTCCTACATCAGAAAACATAGCACGTCGTGGCAGTCGGTGGTTTGGCATGTGCAACACATGTCCCAACCATCTCAACTGATTAAGTTTCACTACTTCATCAATTGATTTGCCATCCTTACCTAGTACCCGTTTCCTAACAACTACATTACTTACTCGGTGGTCCCAGGATATACGAGCAATGTTTTCGAAGACACCTATGATCAAATACTAGTAACCTACGAATATCCTCTACTCTTACTGGCCATGTTTCACTGCCATAAAGTAGGACGGAACGAACTGCTGCGCAGTAAACACGTCCTTTGGTTGATAGACAGATATCTCGCCTACGCCACAAATGACGCAAGTTGTCAAAAGCTAGTCGAGCCTTTTGTATCCGTGCTGAGATTTCGTCATATACCAGACCACAAGGGCTGATGAGACTTTCAAAATAAGTGAAACTACTTCACTCCTATCATTAGTTCGGGTGTCGACGCAACCCAATCCTGAAGCAACATTTTGCATTTCGAGGGAGAAAATCGCATGCCGAACATGCCTGTATTGTTGCTTAGAGTGGTCAGCAGACTCTGCATTTTGTCAGCGTCTTCACTAAATAGAACTATGTCATCGGCATATTCTAAGTCAACAAGTGGATTTCCCCGTAGAAGTTCAACTCTTGGAAAGTTAAATGAGGAAAGTGTCATCTCTAAAAGGACGTCAACGACAAAGTTAAACAAGAATGGAGAGAGTGGACAACCCTGACGAACACCACTTGAGGTAATCAGTTCTGATGGTATCCAGTCAATAGATATTGAGTATCTTTAGTAGACAATCATTTAAAAATGCTTGTTCTCCAATTGTAGAAATGCTGTCCTTGCTTTATCAATCCTTTCCTTCACGTCTTCACTAGATCCTTCTTGTTTATCGATGGTGCTGTCCAGGTACGTGAAAGTTTTCACCTCTTCCAAAGCCTCTATATCAAGTATGCTTGGGTTGGTGTTCTCTGTGTTGCATTTGAGGGTCTAGCTTTTTCCATGTGTATGTTGAGGCCTACTGATGTACAGGCGGCTGCTACACTGCTTGTCTTCACCTGCATTTGTTGGTGAGTATAGGATAGAATGGCCAGGTTATCTGGGAATTCCGAATCGTCCAACTGCATCCAAGCTAACGATTGTATTTCATGCCTCCAGTCAGATATCGAGGTCTTCATAATCCAGTCAAACACTAAAAGAAAGAGAAAGGGGGACAGTAAGCGGACTTGTTTGACTCTAATCCTTAATTGAGATGTATTTGTCAACTGTCCTCTATGCACCACTTTGCATTGTAGTCTGTCGTATGAATTCTTTATGATGCTGACGATTTTCTCAGGTACTGCATAGTGTCGAAGAAGGTTCCATAATGTTCACCTATCCACACTGTTAAATGCTTTCACATAATTAAGGAAGTTGATATATAGTGACGAGTTCCATTCAATTGGTCTGTGCACGACCGATCCTTAGGGAATCCAGGTTGTTGATCTCGAATTTAGGAGTCAACTGAATCTTTCATCAGGTTCAGCAACACTGTCGAAAATCTTTCCTGGTACTGGAAGTAGTGTGATGCCTCTGTGGTTCTCACATTTACTCAGATCTCTTTTCTTTGTTATCTTGATGAAGTATCCTTCTTTTCAGTTCATTGGCACTTGTTCCTCTTCCCAAATCTTCCTGAATAGAACGTGGAGCACGTTTGCAGTTACCTCTATGTCTGACTTAAGTGCTTGAGCTGGTATGTCTTCAGGTTCTGTTGTTTTCTCACTCTTGATTTGTCTAATGACCATCCTGATTTCTTCGATCGTTGATGGAGCGGCATTTATAGGAAGGTCTCTGTGTAATGCTTGGATATCCGGTAGGTTCAGTAGAGCTGGTCTACTCAAGAGTTTCTGAAATTGTTCTACCCATCTTTTCTTCTATTCTTGAATCTCAGTGATTGGCTTGTTTCTTCTGTTCTTAACTTGTTGCTCTGATTTACAATATTTCCCTACCAATTTCTTCGTTGTGTCATACAGTTGTTTCATATAAGTGAGTGTTAAGAAATAAATATCGATTTTCCAAAGTAGTACTTATTCTTTGAAGTGACTTGATCAGGACGCAAAATGACTTACTTCCATTCACCATATTTTAAGAATATGTTTTTTATGATTACTTCATATCAGTTTGCCAAACATAACATAATTATATTTTCTTCAAATCAACATGTAATGAAATATAGTTTACTACTTTTACATGTTTTACATTGTTTTAAACTTTGAAATTTTTAGAAATCATGTTGACAGATAGGTGTAAGTATGGAGTTCTACATTTTGTATGAATTTAATTTAGTAACAAAAACAAAAGCCAGTGTAATTCATACAATTTTAATTAAATAATAGGGTACATTAGTTTCTTTTTTTTTAAATCTAATACACTGGTTTCATAAAACAACTATATTTCATTTAGTGTTAATGGTCAAGGTTGTTACGTTTTTTGTTATACGACCCCAACTTAGATAAATAATAATTTATACTGTCTCATAAATATCGATAGAATTAAGATACTTGTAGCCTATTTTTCTAGGAGTAAATTTTTATATTTACAAATAAAAAGCATTAACTATAGATAAGAATAGTTTACACATTATGATATTGTTAGTTTAGTTAATTTGACAGAATTATAAATAAGTTATAAAAACATAGGTTCTGATTTTATTCATGAATTAAAGAACATAGAATATGTTAAAACATCTTTTTTTCTATTCAAGCTGGATTGATTCAATCCTAGACATTTAGGTCATTGATCTAAATAAAAAGTAGAATGCTCAACTTCGAGTGGTTGTTTCTTATGATTTGAAAAGTCGTTGATGAAAACAATCAATTAGTAAAAAGCATCCAGTTATTAAAATATCATCTTTTAGTTAATACTTATCTACACAGCTCCATTTATAACTAATAAAACTGACTGAACGTTAATAAATTTACTATCAAACGGTAAGTTTGATGGTAGAATGATTAAGAATAAGACATAATATATCAGCCGTTTCATCCCAGTATGGAACTCCCCACAGTACCCATCCATTCATGATATCAATCTCCACAACCCTATACTGATAATTATCATGTGCTCATTAGTAACTGCATTCAAGATGGATTTCCTGGAGTTCTAGTGAGAAGCCGTGATCAGTGGAATTCAACCGTGTCTGTTGTGAGGCAGTTATTCTCTGAAGACAATGGTGAATGGTTGCGCAATTTCGCGGATTGGTTGAAGTTAGTCATTAACACCGTTGAATATCGGCTCAATGGTCTAGAGGTTAAGCGTTCATGCGTGAGACCGAAGGTTCTGGGTTCGACTCACACATACGGGTCGTGGATGTGTACTGGTAATGAGTCTTATACTAAGACGAAACGGCCGTCCACTGCTTCCAGGTTTTTAATGGTGGTCTAACATTGATTCATTCATAATATCAATCTAAACGTATGATATGCTTTAAGTTCGAGCATTAACTATCACCCTAGCTTCTAAACAGGGTGTTAGGATTTATTTTCTGTATTCAATTAACTTTGAATTTGAGCGTCATGAGATAACTGTATTTATATATGGAATAATTTACCATAAAACTTTATCTATTCTTCTGACAATCATAGCCTCAGTCATTTTATATTCATCATTCAAACTTTCACAAAAAATGTGTATTTAAGCAAAGATGGATATTGGCTAGCAGTGGAATCTAGGACGTGCGTTTCGTCCTATTTTGGACTTGTCAACTGGATGTACCTGGCGAATTCTAAATAGGACGAAACGCGAGTCAAACCGGATCCCAATGCTGGTCACTATCCATCTTTGCTTAAAAAGCTTGTGACTTAAGTCTATATCGAGGCAGTCCACATAGGATACACAAATGCCAACATGAGACTGATCAATTACAATGCTAAATAACAAAGGGAAGATGCAAATAAAACAACATCAAGTGAAGTCAGAAATGTATGTATATATTCAACTGTTCATATTTCCAATAGTTTATTTATTAACTTATAATCATTTATGAAAGAACATTTTACATCTCTATCTTCATCTCATGGTTTATTTAAATTAGGTTGATATTGTTTTTTTTCACTTTGACTAGTTGTTGTTACATGTTTAAAAATAAAATAAAAACAACATCCATATTAACCGTTTTATTATTTTCTTAGGAAATATTTAGTAATAATTAATTTTTTTTCCAAAATATAGGATAATTATTATCGACATAGAACAGTTATGTTCAAGGCTAATTCATCAGTAGTGTGGTGTGGGTTACTTATATCCACATAAGTAGTATAGAACGGTGGTCAGACATAGAATGTATTTCAGTAGAAGATCGAGAAGGAAAGAATGGAAATTTGTGTGAAAATGCATGAACAGTGAAATTTGAGACAACGGACTGATATATGCAAAAGGAATAGTCAAGTTTAAGACGATGGATTGATATTTTGCAAATTAACCATTTGCTATATGAATCTCAGATTTTAGTGAGATGCTCTGTAATGTCTTGTCAAATAAATTCGGTTCTCCCCATTCATGTTCTTGTTCACTATAATAGTTTTATTTTAAGTGTTATAATGTTTATTTGCATAGTTTGTGATAACAATTTATGACAAAAAAACTTAATTGGGAAATAGTCAAGTGAGTTTTTTTGGCTTACCGTTGGTGGTACAGAAGATTTTTCAACCGGTTCATCATTTTTATACTTATTTTTTTGATATAGTACATTATCAAACGGTAAGTATGATAATTTAGCACGATATATTGGTTTCTCTAGTTGGCAAAAAAAGATATTATACATTTATAAATATATAGGTTATCGGTTAATTTTATTATTCAAATTTAATGATATTTTAGTAGGATATAAATAAAAAGAATGGTGAAACGTTCTTTGCATACATTTACAATCTGATCGAATGTTAACAACGTTTTGTCGAATAAAGTACAACTTGACTATTTAGATGCCATCGGAGTAAGTTGTCGTTCGTTAAGTAAAGTCCAGTTATCATTCATAAATTCATAGATAGAATGTTTTATGACTTCTACATTAGACACGGTTTGCTTTTGAGAGTATGCCCTATACACAGACCTAGTTCATAAGGATGTGAGGTCAATACTTAAAACAATAACGCAAAGTAAAATATGAATTGTTTAAGATTTAATGTGTACGATTTAAACTGGATTTCAATTATAATATCTTCTAGACAATACTAGTCTTACGAATATGTTTTCTTCATCTATTAAAATTTCATTTCAACTCATTCTTTTCGTAGCTTACATCATTACGAAATCGAGTCTATAAAAATTGCATAACTTCAACACCAAATTCAAGATTGCAATATCCAGAATAAGTGAAACGCTCTACAAAGTAAAATCTTCAACTTTCTGTAGTCAAATTTCAAGTGAATACGTGACCCTCTTTGAGCGTCATTACGGAAAAAATTTCCGTCGCTGATTAACTCGTTTAAACATTTCAGACGTTTTATTCTTTTTACTTAATTATATAAGTTAAGTTCGCTTCCTTCATCAGTTGAATGAATAGTCAATCTGAAGTTTAGAAACTATAGTATTTTCTTCTGGAACTTCCCTCTTTCATTTTCATTATTATAAGATCTATTAGACTTTATGGATTGGGAACTTTCAATGAACATTGCTTTATCACCGGCAGAAGACAACTATCATGAAACGCACTAACATCCTTTTCTGTAGAAATTACCAAATCTCACTGTTTTGTTAGAGTGGGGCATAAAAATGGGCAACTAAATATATTGACACAGTCTAAGTCAATAGAGTGAAGACTGAGTCTATTAGATCCAAAAGATTTTCGGTTTTGCACACTGTAAAAACAAGCTTGAGACCAGTTAAATCCGAATCTCACTAAAAACGTAGTACCTAGTTGTTTCAAATGTTTTACATGCAGCTTTTTTAATGCTTCGCTTTTATAGATAAATGTTTTTCGATGACGTTTATAATTGAAATAACTCGAGACTCTAATAGGATGATGTTATTTTGAGTGGATGTCACATTGAACTAAATTCAGTCATATATTATTATATTCCCTTGACGTCTGAAGAGTGTAACATAATTCATTTGTTTAAAAAGAGCAACAAGGAACCGTTTTGATTCATATGGTGAAGGGAACTAAACGCTTACTCATAAGGTAGTAACATGCATAAAGTAGAAATCTTTTTTCACCCATCCAACGAAGTCGTTCACTTTTGTAGTCCAAATCAGCAATGAAACCCCATTCAATACTTTGAATACCATATCGATGAAAATTTCTGTCACATGTTCCAAAGTGTATACCACTCATAGGACTGATACACGGTAAAAGTGGTAAAGTAAAACTGTAATTTTCACTTTGCTCGTTAACTTCTTTAGATTGGTTATTTTGTAAATTTTCAATTGGTAATGTTAACAGAAAGCCACAGTGTGATAAAAGTGATGATTTGCCTAGTAGACTAAATGAAGGAAAGCATAAGGTTTACAATTAATATTTTAGTACCAATATTAAATGATGATATTTTCCGTTAGGAGACTGATTTATGCATAATTTGATAATTGCAATGTCTACATGTGACTTTCATTCCAAACTAACATTAATTTAAGAAACTTCAGACGTTATTATCTTTGTCCACATTTGGGACTCTTCGATAGACCAAAGATACGTTATTCAGTAGGAGTAAACCTGTAACTTTCAAGTCTCGTCTAGTGTATTGTATCAATATGAATGAATTTTTACGGTTCTTCAACAAGTTATGTATAAGTTTTTTTCACTAAATGACACATCTCTGTGCAGCAACCTTTGACGTTTTTTATTGGTAATTGACAGTAGGTCTTTATAAGAATCAAATGAACCAAAGACTTCTAAAAAACTAGTTGAATACTAGTTTGTAACTCGTTTAATCACAATTGTCATCACTTGAAAAATAGACCAAACTAGCTCTTAATTAATACGAAAAGAATTCGTTTCAAAAATTATTTCAACTTAAGTTTGTTACCACAATCCAATACACAGTCACTATCTTTTTGTCTATGTGAGTGAAGTGAACATTTGATTAATAAATCATAGGGGAAATTCTTTTGAATAGAAATGTCAGTAGTGATAAACCCAGTTATTTTCTGATTTATTAACCGTTCCCGTGACTATCAAATTTCAACGAATCACAAAAAGGCTTTTAATCATTAAATGTCTATATTAGTGAAATAAAGTCTCACAGGATTCTCAGTGATAAAGATTCAAAGAAAAATCTACTTAATCCTAAGGTGAAAGCGTAGAACACGGTTATATAAAGTTTTTGATAATTAGGTGGACAACTATTATATCTTAATGTATCACATAGATAATATTAGGGTTACCGCTTTAAAAGCCACTATAATTACGAATCATTTTCGCTTCATATCGATTTGACCTTTTTGTGATTACAGACTGAAAATGCATTTGAGTATGAGAAATGACTATTAATTAGTCGACAAATCAAGAAACCATTAGCCAAGCAAATGCATGAAATGATGTAGCAGATCATGATATTTTGTAGCCTTTAGTTATTACTTAATACAAAGTAGTCAGTCAACTTGACAAATCTTTATCACATAGACTGGTGAATAAATGACTAAATTGTAATGTTATATTTATGTTTGGTTTATGTTAGCTATTTTTACAAACACATTTGTTCATGAAATACATTACTTAATAACTGGATATAAATCTAGGTTAATTTATCTGCTTTGTAGTTTGTGCACAACTATGTTCTGCTATGCTTCAAATCAAAAACCTATTCTAATAAATAGAATATCTAACTTGTTTGCATTGTTAAATATTTAATTACCCAGAATGATAACAAATTGAAGCGGCAGTTGAATTAGCACTACCTCCTGGTAGAATCCCAACAGGTATTGTATTCTCATCAATGACCACATCATAATTTTTTCTTGATATGAATCCGTTAATTACTTCATACACTAGTCCATCACCTGAACACGTAACTATTGCACGATAACGTAAAAGATTAGCTTTTGGTAAATTTTTGATAAAATTTTCTGCATGGCCTGAATATTCTAAACAGCAGAAACATGGCATCAAAATTGATATTTGAATAGATGCATGCATAAATAAATTATTTATGGTTAATATGAAAAGTATATAAGTTTAACATTTAGGAATGCATTACCATGTATATATAACTGGGTTTATGTCTGTGATTATAAGTTATAGAAGGACGTATTGTCTGGTAGTTTATCATAATGTTGATAGACTTCTGACTACTGAGCAATCAGTGTCATCCTTATTTATTTTTTATGCTACATAAATTTAGTCAGTGACGAGTAATACAACCTAAGACCAGAGCTTCCTTTCATTTGTTTCTAATCACGTAACACCTGTTTATCATCTTTTTGTTAGCAGGTTTTGTTCATATCAATAGAAAGTTAACATTACGGCGTTTAATATTTCTGAAACGTATACAAACGGAATAATAGAATGTCATTGTTATTTGCCTTAATTAATATGTAATTTAGGTTTCCAGTAGTCGGAATATCTCTGTGCAATAAACTCACATACTTTGCTACATAGATCAACTAAGCATTCATAGATTTGACTTTTTTACGCGTGATTGTCATTTTTTGTTATTTATTCATTTACTTAATCTTTGATTATAAATTGCTTAATATTCTTCATCATACACTTTAAGTGTTTGTTATTTACTTTCATATTTATTTTAGTAACAATACAATGTTACTGTAATATATCACTAGTATGATATAGATTGTGTTTAGTTGAGAAAATGAGCTAAATTTATGCTATAAAATATTTGAATATTTGTTTATCTTGCTTCTATATCTTTGAAGAGTACCCACCATTTTAATACTCTACGAGCACGTTTTAATCCTAAAATCTAGAACTTTTGAGTACTTCATCACCTTTACAATCAAAAACATGGGGTATATCATTTCGGTCAAGGTGGTTTTCAAGCGACATGTATTTAGATTTGTGTTTGTGTATGTGTGAAGGGTCAGGGATGAAAAAATGTAACCTTTGTAGTGAGATAGGATAGAGTTTAATTTGTATGTACGATAATAGCGGAAAATGTGAATTATATCATACATGGTAGCTTGAGTAGATAGTTCAAGTCGGATGGATATCGAGGCTTTATTTTCTACTGAGAGCAGTAAGATTAAGTATTGTATGGAAAGCTTCAGCACTCTCCTTTCTTTGTAGTTGGAAAAGCCTTTTTGTAATATTTTGATGTTTTTGATATCGATTTGGTGGTTGTTGAAAATAACGTGAACTGCTATTGCCGATTTGATTTGGAGTTTATCCAGTTCTACGGGATTATTAGGTGGTTTCTTTGTGTACCTAAGATATTCTTTGGCTCGAGTCAAGATTTCGCGAGATGACTCTCTGATATAGAAGGTATCACAATCGACAGACATAAAGGGGATATTTTCTTTCAAGTGAACTAATGTATTTCGAAGCGTGTTCGTTGTTTCGTAATATATTTTAATTCTGTATGGTTTTAGAATTTTTTGGCGTTCTTCTGTTGTACCATGGTGGTATGGTAAAACCTCAGTACCGATCCATGATATTTCATACAAATTATTATTTAGCAGTGAAACATCTTGTTTTATTACACTTCTAATAATCTTCATCGGAAAATGATTAAATTGTAAGATGTTAATTACATGTTTTCTTTCTTTTTGTTAGTCCTCTTCAAATGTGATAATCTTGTCAGATATTCTAAAGAGATTGAACTATAACTTCTATCCAAGCTACTATGTTTCACATTATTCACATTTCCCACTATTATCGTATATACAAATTAAACTCTATCCATACTTGTGAAATGTGATCGATAAACGAACGCACCAATGATAAGGTGAAACGCCCACCACCACGTTAACTTTCTTTGACCTTGTATGACTATACCTTTTCTTATCCACCAATCATAATTTTATGTTCATCATAAAACAATATTCGCTTTGCTAACTCATTTTTCCTATTCCCTGATTACTGTTCGATATGTTAATTATGTCTCTGTTTCCCCTACGTTAATAGACTGTACTGTTTATTTTGTATACTAACGGTGTGTAATTTATGTTTTAGAAACAGATAAAGTTGATCAGGCCAAATAGCTTACTTGTTCTGACTTTGGCTAAAGCAAGACTCTGTATTCGACAGTTTAGAGAATAGCTTAGTTAAACCTGTAGGAAATTGTTTCCTACATACTTACTACAAAGGTCACAATTTGTCCATCCCTGACCTAGCATACATACTTACTTACAGCTGTTACTCCTAATAGAGCATAGGCCGCCGACCAGCATTCTCCGACACACTTTATCCTGGGCCTTCCTTTCTAGGTCTATCCAATTCTTATGCATTCTTTCCATGTCTGTCTCCATTTCTCGGCGTAATGTGTTCTAAAGCCTTCCTCTTTTCCTTTGGCCTTGAGGGCTTGTATTGTGACGCAGCTGGATGCTTCCCTCAATGTGTGTCCTATCCACTCCCAGCGCTTCATCCTGATTTCTTCCTACACTGGGATCTGATTTGTTCTCTCCCACAGTAGGTTGTTGCTAATAGTGTCCGGCCAGCGGATCTGAAGTATTTTGCGTAGACAGCTGTTAATAAACACTTGTATCTTTTGGATGATGGATTTCGTAGTTTTCCAGGTTTCCGCCCCATACAGTAGAACTGTCTTGACATTTGTATTGAAAATTCTGACTTTGGTGTTGGTTGCCAATTGTTTTGAGTTCCAGATATTCTTCAGTTGTAAATATGCTGCTCTTGCTTTGCCAATTCGTGCCTTCACATGTGCATCGGGTCCACCGTGTTCATCGATGATACTGCCCAAATATGTAAAGGTTTTTACATCTTCCAAAGCTTCTCCGTCAATTGTGATTGGATTGTTACATGCTATGTTGTATCGAAGAATCTTGCTTTTCCCTTTGCGTGTATTGAGACCTATTGCTGCTGAGGCTGCAGCTACACTGGTTGTCTTCTGCTGCATTTGTTGTTGCGTATGCGATAGAAGAGCCAGATCATCTGCGAAGTCTAGATCATCCAACTGCATCCTAGATGTCCACTGTATCCCGTGCTTCCCTTCAGATGTTGACGTCTTCATGATCCAGTCGATCAACAGGAGAAAGAGAAAGGGTGAGAGTAAGCAACCTTGCCTGACACCGGTCTTTACTTCGAACGACTTTGTCGACTGTCCTCCATGCACGATTTTGCAGTTTAATCCATCGCAGGAATTCCGTATGATATTGACTACTTTCTCAGAAACTCCGTAGTGTCGAAGAAGCCTTCATAGTGTTGTCCTGTCCATATCATCAAATGCTTTCTTGTAGTCAATGAAGTTAATGTAGAGTGATGAATTCCATTCAATTTATTATTCCACAATGATCTGTAGTGTTGCGATTTGGTCTGTACACGGTCGATCCTTACGGAATTCAGTCTGTTGGTCTTGAAGTCGGGCATCTACGGAGTCTTTTATGTACGCCGCACACATACACAAACACAAATTTACATACATGTCGCTTGAACAATACTTATTTTTATAAACAACATTTTTGCTTAAATGGACATTATTTGGTTTTTGTTTTTACTTATTCAACAAATTCATTTATTATTAGAATCATTTGACTATAGTCTTAATTTCCAAGTAAACGGTGAACTAATTAGGTGAGAAATCATTTTTAAATGATTAATCTATCTTAATAGAATAAACACTTAGTATTGATAGTTTCATAGACGAATATCGAAATACACGTTGCCATTATGAGTTGTGGGAATAGTATTTTTATGCTTAATTATGTAAATTTAGATAGAAAATGAAAAGTATAAACTCAGTATGCAGGGTAGATAAGTAAGCATAAGAATGTACAATTTTGAAAAGCACGAACTTCAGACCACATATAGTAGAAACCTGATAAATGGTGCGAATAAGTCAAAATGTGGATAGAGCAAGGAAAATATAAGTTAAATGGTAATAAACAGTTAGATAAACTGTTTAAATTTGAATGATTCAAACAATCTCATTCAACAATTTCGTAATCATTCTAAATTATGTTTAAAAACTTTATCTACATATAGCAGTTCCAACCTGTGATGGTCGTGGTTCAGATAACATAAATACCAATTTATTAATGAATGCATCTGTTTATACTTCTTTACTCTATTAAGCGAAAATAATTTTACTAGGATATCATGTAGTTTAACGTAATTAAATACGACATTATTTTTTATGGTTTACGTTGAAAATATCGAAATATTGAAATATCTTTGATATAATAATGATTTACTTTTAAAAATGGATGAAAGTAAAGATAATCAGTTGGTTGAGGAACAATTAGTATTATTCTATTTGTTATAAACAATAACTTCCTTTTATGTATTTTTATTAAATCATTTTTACTAGGTTAATGAAATGATTTTATCGGTATAATTCAAGAGAATTCTAATAATTGGTGAAAAGTCATTCAAAATGGCACTAATAGTATAGTTGTAATGTGGGTTTTTAAAACATATTTGTGTTTCAGCAGATGCTTTTGTCATTTAGCTTTTTTATCCTCTATTACGCAACACGTTAATAGTCATAATCCTAAAAAAATTAGTTATTTGTTAAACTACAGTGAACTTAAAACTTAGACCAATATAAGTGATTTTGCTAATGAGACAAAACAAATAAAAAACCAGCATAATTTTATGATGAAACAACTTACTTATATTGGACTGAATATGCTAACAGTGATCGAACAATTAACCCTGATACCATCACGCAATCAATCAATTTAAGGTCAAAATCGAGGCTAACCGTAAAATCTGAAGGTCCTGGGTTAGATCTGCGGTAGGATTGTAGATATCCAATGTTGATGGGTCCTATACTAGGACAAAACACCTGTCCAGTACTTCATGCTTTTCAGAGATTATTTAAATAAGATCAGTTCGTGATGCCAGCCATAAAATCTTAAAATAAATTACAGTCCATTAAATAATTGTACTCGTATCACGGAATGGTGCAAGCAGAGACGTCACCTCTGGTTTTTTTTTATAGAACTGAGATATTTGCAATAATCAGTCATTGAATGATTCCCCGAGTCATTTTTTTCACTTCGCAGTGCTGTAACATTAAGTGATTCCGGTTTGATTCTCAGCGGAAGTATCAGTCCATTTAGGGTTCAAAATACAGCCTGATAACGAGTTTCGAGAATCAGGAAATATGGTTCAAGGAATTCTTATGGATTAGCATTTATTACTTTAAAAATTAATAACCTATATACATTTCTCCCTCACTGTACTAATAATGAAATATCCAGTGATTTAATAATAGTTCTATTAGAGTAGTTAAAAATCTCTGGCCATATCTGTGTTAACTTGCATTACAACATTCATATCAATTTGTTGACCAATCACCGCACAGAAATCGCTAAAGTGTTGTTCTACAATTCAACTATGTGATTTCTAAATGTAGCTTGGGACTTCATTAAAATTATCTTTGGGAGTCTACATATATGAGTTTTTGTTTACTAGTATTTGTCAATAAAAAATAGATCTTACTCTGCTAAGATGCACTGTATTTCAAAGTTTAAATATAAGCTGATTAGTAAATTTCAACTGGAAGTTCAGGTCAGTTAAGGTCAGTCTACTGTCCGAGTGACTTCATATTAATAAGCACATGGGATTCTAATTTCAAACTGATAGTTAATTCTATCTGTTCTATTGATAAGTCTCTTGGATGATATAATTGATTTGAAATTAAGGCTTTTTAAAGAAGTGTTCGACTTTCTCAATATCAAAACTATGGTTGTAATTCTGTGATATGATATATCTTAACATCGCGTTTTTGTTAAACCATCATACAAATTATTCTATTGACTTAATTTAGTATTTTTATTAGTAATTACTGAAAATACTAATTTACTGAACATGAGTCTGGTCATGTATATGTACATTGATATAAAATATTCATTTTGCATTTTTACAATTTAATTTCTGATAATTGGTTTCCACCTTGTGATAACTAACATATACTGAAGTATTACCAAATGAATTTGTAAACTCCATAAAAAGCGTCTGAAATACTATAGAGTATTTTAAACGTTTTCTTTGTCATTATACAATAGATTTATTAATTGAAAAATCTAAAATAAGATAGTACAATTAATTACCTGTACAAAATAATTCATATGGAACATTCATTTGTTTCCAAATGGGAGAAATTTCGAAGTTAAAACCATTTAGAGCATTCCCTGATCCACTTTTAGGATTTATTAAAACTAAATAAGGTTTAGCTGAATTGATGAGTAAGCGAATTAAAATAAACTTTTATTAAAATTTCGTTAGAATGCAATTTTAGAGAAAATTTTTCGAATTTTAACGAACTCAAGTATTTAATTATAAAATAGAATATGTTAAAAGCACAATATAAGAACTATCTATTGTCATCGTCTCCTGTGAGTAAACTTAACATTAGTAAATATAAAATATAATTTGTTTTGTATTTCCAAAATGATCGGACGAGCGCCTTAAACAAGTCTATAATCGAGAGCTTTAAATGTCTGTCTAGTGCAAATAAACAATAGTGCGCTATGTTCTTGTTATAAGCATAAGATGTTAGAAATTGAATCAACTAGTTTAATGGAGTCGAGCATTTTAAATAGTAGTGTAAAGGATAAAGCCACACATGCTGACAATTGCAAATTATTTTTACTATCAGGTTATTTAGTTTTAACGTATATTTTTATATATACATGTCTGTGTGCTTTACTTTCATCTGGGCATAGATCCAGAAGCAAAAACTTAAGATAATTAATTAACACAGAAAACACTTTTGCAGCAAATGTACTCAAGTTGTTTAATATTAACAAACAAATACTGAACTCACTTACCGTCATCTGAGTTTGCACTTTTGAAGAAAAATTCCATTGCTTTCATGCATTCGGAGGCCTCTTGATCAGATGAAAAAAGTATACTAAGACTTGTTTCTTCAAGTATTTGTAATTTTTTTTTCTTTTCGTACACCTAAAAAGTCAATCATCTAAATGCTTGTTTACTTTTTTTGTTTTATAATAACTCATTTTTAGACATGTATTTTGCTTCTTCTTACTTCTTAATATAATTTCTTTCTTGCACCCAATTACGAGGTTCTTGTGAATATGCATTTTGTTGGGCAAAGTAGAGTGCTTTGGTACGACACATATTCCAAGTTCGTTCAAATAAAGCGTGCACTGAATTTGACGAGGAATCGGTAGAATACAGACATCATAAGACGTGCGAACATTTGGCTGCATTTCTGTAAAATAAACTTATAAAAATGTTTGTATTACGCCAATTGGTTTATAAACAAAGTGGAAATTATAGTACTTAAATAACGTTGGATATTGTTCAGACAGATAAAATTAACAATTTTGTTGTTACGTAAGTGTGGCAGTTAATTATGAATGTTTTTTGAAGCGGTATTTAAATATCAGTGTATATGATAACTACACTTCTCTGGCTCTTACTTTTTACTGTACTTATTACCTGCTCCACATCATCATGGCAAACTGAACACTTAAGGCCTATTATTTTGGTAAGGATAGAAAAGCTACCTGTTCACATGGTGTTGGATGACAGATTAGCAGAAGATAGATATCGGCCAAAACTTTCCTTCTGGATCCCTTAAAAGAACTTTGACCAAAGGTAATTAAGTTTTACTGTTATAACCAGTCAGGACCTATGGTAGCAAATAAATTCCTAAGATATATAGTTCTGTAAATCTTTGACATTGATGCTGACCTAGTTGGTTTTACTGAACATATCTTAGCTGAAGACGTTTGGTTGCTCACTTGCACCAAATCACGAGTGTGTACTATGTGCTACTCATCCTTTGCAAGTACTATCCAGATTAAACCAAATACTTCTCGACATTTCATTAGCTTTCGAAGGATGTCTATGAACACCTTCATTTCCAACTTCTGATTCAACTGGATTGGTATCCTTCAATTAAAAAAATGTTACATGTGAAGGTGTTGGTAAACTCCGAGCGTATGTTGTACCTATAAGCCTAACTTTAAATTACAGAGGCCGTTATCAGGAATACTGAATGACTTATCGCCCAAACATTACAGTACATATATCCTAAACAAACAGCCGTTTGTTTAAACTTCACACTACACTTCAACATATTTAACAAATGCTTTGTGACTGTAGGAAAAATTAATGAACAAAACGGTACATAAATGCAGTCATGTTGAAAAAACATAATATGCCTGAAAACCGTCACAGTGTATAAAGAACGGTAACTTAAAAGCAAAGGACCAACATTCTTAAGAAGTAGGAAAATCATCATTATTGAGGTACAAAATTGGAACGGGAATAAGTTAATCTGAGTAACAAGTGCACCTGTCGCACCGTATTGACGAAGATAAAAGGAAATTTTAAAACCTAAGGGTTTTGTTTCATCTGTATGAGATTTCGAATATTGAGACCAATACTATGGTGTAGTCTGATATTAACATACCAGTATTAGCCTTTTCAAGCTACTGTCGATGCAAATCACACACAGGAAATGTCAAATCCAAACCCATTGAACAAAAGATAGAGATGATCTGCGAGATCTTAACATACCACTTAAATATAAATTGTAGGAGAAAACGAACACGATAAACAACTACTAAGATTATATACATAGGTATATACATCAGGATATACGCTTGCACTTAATGTTTAGACGGTGCTTCTAGGCGATTCATCCTACAAAGTTTGTTTATTTCGTTCAATTTAGGATCATTATCTGACGGACACATTCAGCGTGTCGAATAAGTAAAAGTTTGTCTCTATGTTTATTTGTTTACTTACATTATTTGATTGTGCTAGCGGTTCTAGGACGTCTGTTGCGTTTGAGTCAAAATTACTGCTGCAATTAAATTTCATGTTTGAGTCCAGTGTTGCCTGACATTACGTCGAAAAGTCTATGTACTGGGAATCAGTGCATAAGATCATCATTTGTATGTTTACTTGAGTGAAACGTAATGTAAAATCTTCTCCTTTTCAAGTTTATTACTGCATTAGTACATCGTAAATAGATTGTTAGGGAAGCTATTTCGTTGAAGGGCTAGAGTGTCAATATAAGTCAACCCATGTTTTATTCTGCAGAGCAAACGTTTTTCTCTATTGTAAGCCGTTAGGTATCTTCAATTTAGCTACGAATAGTTAGGGATCGTGTTGATTATCTCGGGAAATATATCTGTTTCTATTCTCAATAAAACATTAAACTCACTCTAGACAAAACAGTATAGAAACTTCCAGTTTCCATATTCACCATATTTTACACGTGCGCTTCAAAACTGAGGTGACTACGAATTATTCCTTAAATCGCCACTATATATATATATATATATATATATATATATATATATATATATATATATATATATAAGGCACTTTCGTAACAGTGATTAAAAAATGAGAGTTGTATTTGGAAATACATGCTACATTTTTTGATTACATTAACATAGCTACGGTCTCTTATAATTACAAAAGAATGGAATTTTTGTACCTCATGAACAAAACATATTTAAAATCAACTTTATTGATTACCAGTTGGTTTGATGATTAGGACACTCCAGAAAATTCTGAAGTCTCATAAAATAAAAGCTCCTTGTGGTATACAGGGGTTATTATGGAAGACTTCCAAATTCATAAAAAAAACAGCAATCAACTCAGAAACTTAGATCAAATTTCAAAGACAACAGCAAAAGAGTTCATACAACTGAATGGTTATAACAAAAGTGTCTATTCAGTCCTTAGTCTTCAGTAGTAAGAATAGTAGGTTAGTGAACTCGTGTCAGTCTTTACGAATCGTTTTCTACTGAAAACTGAACTTCTTATTGTATGCACTCACTGATGGGGCTGATACCACTCGTTCAGGTACGACATTCCATTCTCTGATCACTTCATGAGAAAAACGGGGTCCCACTCTGACTTCCTTCGATATTGTTTCTAGAATCCTCTTGTTGTAGCTCCAGAGATTAATAGTTTTGAAGCAGGCGAAAAGACAAGACATGCTGATACCCAGATTGTTATTAAAAATACAGAATGCCAAGAAAGTGACCTCGCGTGCTAGGATATGAGGAAAAGGTTTAAACCTTTTTAGTGCTTATCGTGTGGGAATTTGGAAAGACCGGTCGCGAAGTCCGCTCAACACCCGGGTCTGGGGTTTCCTGTTGACTAACTCCAACCACCATCTTATCTCAACACAGTCACCTAGACCAGTGGCCACATTGCAACTTTTTTGATACCGTTCGATCCGCACTAAGGATGACCTGACACACATGATATTGATCATCACCCAGCGATCAGTCAACTGTGAATCTTTGAGCGTAATATGATTTTTAGTAAGATATAGACCGGTTGCTCGAATGTAATACTCTAGGTGAGGTCTCACATAGGTTCGCCAGTGGTACGGTCACAGAAAGTGAAGTTGACAATATCCGTTGATTAGTGCTCACTGATGTAGTTTGATACATTCTCGGCTTTGGTGGAATCCGATTTGTCTGGTGTATCTGATTTTTTGCGCAACAATAACGGAGGGATTTCCTCACTACGTTTCTTCATCGTTCAATGTACGAAGATAATCGTTTGAGCCTGGGATTGCCATCATTTGCCAAATGTATTTCGTAAATTGCTCGGCACCTCGCTATGTTCTTCTCAAATATACTCTTGGTTTTTCGGTATTCGTGTCTCACCAATAAGAACAAATCCCAAAAGTGTTTCATATGCTTCAGCAGCTATCGACTTTCTCCATCAATTACTGGAGGCCAATGTGATTACATGCCTGTTCACCATGGAGAGAACGACAATGCTGCTTTAAGCCTGTCCAGTCCGTCTTTGACCGATCCGTCTCCATTGATCGAATAATCTGTTGAGTTTCTGAATACCGGAAAGTTAGAACAGCAGATTTTTATACGATAGGTTAATGCATACTGCATGTCGTGTCCAAAACCTAACGTACAGAACATGGTGATAGTTATCCGCTAGAGAGCGGAGGTACTAAATATCGATGACATCATCACAGTGGTGTGTTAAGACAAGATTTAAAAATGATAGTTCATATTCCGAGTCAACTCATTATGATTTTGTGATACATTGCGCAAGTGCACATTGGATAATGGTTGACAGCGGGCAATCAACAAACTATACACCCGAAGTTATAAGCTCTGTCCGATCGATGCACGGTGTGTTGAAATATCCAACAATGAGACGACAGTGAGCCTTACACCAAGCAAAGATTTACCTTTAGGATAAGGTCGTCAGCAAGACACTGTGGATTATGGTATATTCCTCCCATTGTCACTAATCTATTTCTGGATTTAATTGTTCGACAAGCTACCTCACATGCATCATTATCATGCACTTCGGGTGCGTTCGGTTGAATACGAAAGTTATCTCTAACATATAATATTATGCCATCTCTCCAATGATCTTTAACTCTGTCATCTCTAATACAGATGTATTCTGTAATGATTGGAGAACGCCTATATCTATGGTGAGTCACGTTTCTGTGAAAATAACTGCATCGGGACTTGTTTCATCCCCCATGAGGGTTAGCTCAAACGTCTTATACCTGAGACTATGAACGTTTTGTTGAACAAAATTAAGGTGTTTTGTGGATCACTAATTCTACCCATACAGGTCTCGGAAACATTAGGTTAGAAGACCTGACTACCTGAAAAACCTGAGTTTAAGGTTTGATCTGCCATTTTGCTTACAAGTTGTTAACGCAGTAAGCAAAATCTATCACTTCACTGGATCCTATAGTAACCATTGTGGTCGGACACGAATATTGAATTGCTAGTTTTATATGTATTGTTTGCTATAACGTCCCTACTCTTGCTACTTTTGAGTACTGGGTTCAAGATCTTCTTTGTTTGAACCTTGCATACTGGGTTTTATTATCTTAGTAATGGAAACGCAACTCCGCCTGTAGCTCTTCTAGAGTTACTGCCAGTCCCTAGCCTGGGTAAAGGAGGAGGGTTGTGCATGAGGTTAGCGACCCCATCCTGTGGAAAACTAACGCGCTAAAAAAACGCTAACAAGAAAAAATAATTCAAACCATTTAAACTCTGCCCTGGGAGTTAGAAGGTCTTCATCTAGAAGAAATGTGACGCCTAATGGTGAAAGCCGAGTTCCTTCGGAAGCCACGAGGCCGATGCCCATTTTAACAACCAGAGCAACAATTTTTATAGGTACATGGAACGTCCGGACAATGTGGGAGACCAGGAAGATCAGTCAGATGGCAACGGAAATGAGGAGATACAACTTGGCAATACTGGGAACCAGAGAAACCCATTAGACCCAAGCTGGACAACAAAGGCTAAATACGGGAGAGATGCTGCTATACACCGGTCACAAAGAGGAAAATCCTCGACACACTCAAAGAGTTGTTCTAATGCTGTCCGAAGTAGCGCGAAATGCACTTGTAGGATGGGAATTCCACGGATTCAGAATCATCAAAGCATCATTCAAAACAAAGAAGGAGGGGATCATAATGAATATTATTCAATGTTATGCGCCCACCAATGATAGCAACGATGACGTTAAAGATCAATTCTATGGGAGGCTGCAATCAATCACATAGAAGTGCCCAAGAAAGGACCTCACCATTCTGATGGGAGATCTAAACGCCAAAGTCGGAATAGACAACACCGGATATGAAGATATCATGGGACTGCATGGACTGGGAGAGAGGAACGAAAATGGGGAAAGATTTGCAGATCTATGTGCATTCAACAAATTGGTCACAGGAGGCACGATATTCCCACACAAAGCTACATGGATCTCACCAGACCACATCACAGAGAACCAGATAGATCATATATACACCAATTAAAAAATTCCGAAGGACAGTGGAAGAAGACAGGCCATTCACCGGAATTCAAGAACAGTGGAACAGATTGGTAGAATACTACGAGGAACTCCTGGATCTACCGGACATCGAAGCAGCACACACAGATCTTCCTATATATTTTAATGTTGGGAGGTTTTGTTTGTCTGAACAAGGAATCCCATGCTCCACTGTGACTGCGCGAAGATCGAAATAAAGACCTATTCCCCACTAGTCTGGTTTCTTCTATTAATAACACGAGGGTTACCGAAAGGCACGAAACTGGTGAGCCCTCTGAAACACAAATTTGATTTCATTTTCGATTTTTAAATTGATTTTTTTGTTTTAATTAGTCGTAAACGTAGACCTTCTGATCATCCGTAGACTAAGTTTGGTATATATATTT